TAAAAAATTTAAAAAAAATTTTAATAGTAAACCCTAATATTACATAAACTTTGCACTTTAATTAATCAAAAGTTTTTTATTAATTTTAAAAAATTTTTTTAATAAAGTTGATAAAGTAGATTTTTAAAAATATATTTTAATTAAGAAATATATTATTAAAATTAAAGAATTATATATATATACCTGAAGATATATATACTGTATTATGTAATATAATAAAATATATAATATATATAATATTATATAACCTATTTTTATTTTATTTATTATTTTCTATAAAATAAATAATTTATTTTTAACCAAAAAAAATAATCCTAGTTAATTAGGCCTTTTTACTTGTTGCTAAGAATAAACAATAATTAATTTAACAGTAATACAGATGGTCAAATAATCTGTATGTTTTATGAAGTACCCTAAAAATAAAAAAATCATCAAGTTGCATCTAACCGATTACACCAACCTTTAACTGATTATCAAAAAAAAGAAAACAGTACCAGCACCATAATAAAAATATTTAATTTTGTATATATATATATATATATGAATTTAGTCTAATTCATCTGGCCAATACTCCTTAATTCTGAAAATTGTGAAAAATCTACCAATATATTCTTATTTTATACTCTAACCCTAATGTTCCAAAGTAAAATATTATTCAAAATGAACACTATCAAGAAGAAAAAATAAAATAACTGATATGAATAAAATAATTAGAATTATAAGTATCAAATAAGTTCAAAATCAAATATATAAATAAGCTTGTATTGGTATAAAAATCATTTATCAATTATTGGAATTAAAATAATAAAACAAGGTTATAAATTAAAAATATAAATATTTAACAGGATGTAATATCCTTCAATTTATTTTGTTCATATAATTATTTTATTCAATATGTATAAAATCAGTTATTAATTATTTAGAATCAAAAACAGCAAAACAAGTTTAAAATAAAAACTTAAACACTTACTATTACATAATACTCTTTAGATTATTTTATTATATTAGTCATTTCATTTAGCTTGTATTAGTATATATGAAAGTTAGTTATTAATCATTAGAATCAAAAACAGAAAAATAAATTTAAATTCAAAAATCTAAATATTTATTGTATATAATAATCTTCAGATAAATTCATTGAATTAATTATTTTATTCAGCTTGTACCAATATGCCTAAAGTTGGTATTCACCTAAAGTTGTAATTTTAGATACCTGAAGTTGTACCTAACTGATATTAGCTTTCAAAATTAGATCATCCTGCATCTATTAGCTAGTAGTTTTAGGCAAATATAATTTTAAGTATCTTGAAATTGCAACTTCAGATGGGTATTAACTTTAGATATAGTCTAAAGTTTGAAAAAGCCAGTGTAATATTCTTCCAAACTGACCTAAATTAGTATAATATATCATCTAATATGTTTCTTCATTCTGTCTTGCAAAGTGTATCTTTTGGTGCTTTTTCTTCTTTTAATATAAAATACTAAATAAATCAACGTGATATTCTTACAAAATGCATTTGCCAATGCTTTTTCACTTTTTAGTTCAAGCTTATTATTACTAAATGCAAACAAAATCAGTATAGTGTTCTTACAAAATGTATCAGCTAATAGTTTTCTTTCTTCTGATCTATGATTTTTGTTAAAAGATTTAAAAAAATTGGAGAAAGTTTTTGAACAAAAATATACTAACAGCAAAAGTATAAAATTTACACCAATTTATCTAAAAATGCAACAGAATTGGGTTGACAAAACTCTATAAACCTGACAACACAGATTGGTAAAATCTACTTTCACAAGAATGCCAAAAACAAAAAACTTGAATATGAAATTATGCTGACAAAGATTTTAATAAAGCGATAGAAAACACCTATAGCAATGAAATCTATGACTTCTACTATATAATAGTAAAATTATATCATAACTTCAGTAACATGATAAAATCCACATTCATAAGTGTATCTAAATAATGTTTATACCATGGTTCTAATGATATATACAATAGTAACAATAAAAGTTAGTGTTAGATTAAAAAAAAATTATAACAGAAATAGTAATTATTGTTTATATATCCTGTGTATGTTATATTATATAGAGATAGAAACAGCTTATACAGTCGGACCTTCCTAAATGCAACCTCTATAAATGCAATACCTCTCTAAATGTATATTTTTGTCTTGGCTATATGAAATCATTAATACTAAATGCACGTTCTATATTCTGCAAATGCACATTCGCTCAAAAGATTTTTTATATCATACTAACCTCTCTAAATACATGTAGCCAATCAGAAGTCAGTATTTAAGTTTGTTACACAAGTCTGCAGATCAAATATTAAAAGTTGCAATTTGATTGGCTCCCTTTAAATACAAACCTCCCTAAATGCACATTTTAGACTGGTCTGTACATGTTGTATTTATGGAGGTTTGACTGTAATAAGCTAGCTTACTCATAGCTTTTAAGCTGAACCAAGCTGAGCTAATAAGCCAGCTCAAGCTAATCTTATTTCTAACTAAATATATTTATATTACTTGTATTATTACAATAGTTTATAAGAATTTTTTATAATAAATCACTATAAAAATTATATTTATTTTAAGGATGAATCTAATTGTAACAACTTGTTATATGCTTATTTATAACAATTTAATTAGTACAACCAATAAAAATAATTAATTATTATTGGCTAATATGAGGTTGTTATATATAACAGGTTATTACAAGAATATTTATTCTTATTTTAATATAAAACTAATATAATTATATCAAAATAATTTATATTATTATAATACTCTTAAGTGTCTTAATTAATAAGTTAAAAATATTATATAAAATATTACAAAAATAAAAAATAATTAATTTTTTTTATATATTCCAATATTATTTTCCATCCAATTTTTTAAGCAAAGTGATGCATAAGCAATATCAGGATTAAGTTGATTGCGAAGTTTTGAAAGTGTTATTGAGGCAGTAGAAAATATTTCTTTACAAGAAACACTAGATCCTTGAATTGCAAGATAATCTTGTGCTATTTTAGCAAGTATTGGAAATCTATATTTATTATCATCCCACTATTGTAAAGAATTATTATTAATAGTTGGTATAGATAAATATTTTTCTAACTCTTCTGTTAATAGTAGTGTTTCAATTGTTTGCTGTATTATTAATGATATAAATTTTTTTTATTTATCATCAAATATTAATTTAGAAGCATTAGAAGTATCACCTGCTAGTATTGATTTATATTGATTAATTATATTCTACAAACTAGCAAGAATGATATTTTTTTTATCATTATTCTGAAATATTAATAGCTTTGATGTTGGGTCAAG